TAACCTTAAACCGCATAAAAACATTATTTTCCACATACTGTACATTATTGTTTCTCCTCTATGCCCCGGCTTTCTGAAACACGTCGATTTTTACAAAGCTCATCGGTCTGAAAAGCGAGGTGTGCTCTGATTGGCCAGCTATCCAGTGTGTTGTGATTGGCCGAATACCTCAAGCGTGTGACGGAAATGTTACACCCCTCACCATACTGTGATGCCTGCGGCAACCACATGTGACGACCCCGGGCTGGACTCCGCTTCGTCCACGGTGAAAGCCGATCCGGCGATCCACAGCGAAGTTGATGTATTTCCTCAGAGACCAGCACGGATCAGCTCCAGGCATGATGAAGCGGATATCGTTCGCTTTTGGAAGACCAAACAAAGTAGTTTCGGTACAGCGTCTTCACGACATGGCGGCGGTGTCAACAATACTACAGCGAGAATAAAAGTTATGCCTTCTTTCTTTGCGTGAATATTTGGGCGGCGTTATGCAAATCTTCCCACATAGTGATGTAGACATGTGGGGGCGTGTTAGAATGAGGCGTTTTTGGTAGGCGTGGCTGACTCTTAACTTTTATAAAGAATATCTCTTTGGATTTGAGACTTTAGTCTTTGCAACTTTACAGATCTTCTTTATGCACCAAGAGCTTGTAACACTCCAAAGAGAAAGGAACAATTGAAATTGCATCATATGACCCCTTTAAATTGAAAAATTCTACTCAGCTGATTTCAACATAATAATAATAATACATATTTTTGAGCAGCACTATTACTAATGTAAAAGTCTGGATTTGTGAGCATCAGACTGACTACATAAGTGCCTTTTTGCAAGATACATATTTAGATTTGAGTTTTTATTTTCATTTGGCCTCCCTCTTCAACATTCCTTGTCACAGCCAACACAGGTAATAAACACAAATCGAGCTCCCTGTGCTAGGGCTGGACAATAATTCAATATCAATATGTATCGCGATATAATTTTTTTCAATAACAGTGATATGATTTTTAAACACATTTCCGATATTTCGATATCCATTCCCAGTGTTTCCCATACATTGATTTATTTGTGGCTTTGATTTCTTTGAATAAACAAGAGCACTGCACGTTTCAAAATCAAAACACGGCGCGGGTGTTTTATATGAATGTATCTCTGACGGGAAGATACAGTATGTATCTTTTATATGAATGTATCTCTGACGGGAACTTCAGAAAAGTTTCGATGGCATTTTCATTTTCTCTGATATGAAGTAGAAACATAGAAACAAATGCAACATTCATGTTTTGTCCCGCTCCCACCCGCATAAAAGTAATCTATATAGATTTTTTTCAGTACATCGAAGAAATTTACATGAAATGGTTCTGTAACATCTCCTAAGATCCACAACATCCCAGCATAAACGTATAGGTACATCGGGCAGCAGAGGCCGTACATCGGGCAGCAGAGGCGGTACATCAGGCAGCAGAGGCGGCAGAGGCGGTACATCGGGCAGCAGAGGCGGTACAGAGGAGGTACATCGGGCAGCAGAGGCGGTACATCGGGCAGCAGAGGCGGTACAGAGGGCAGCAGAGGCGGTACATCGGGCAGCAGAGGCGGTACATCGGGCAGCAGAGGCGGTACATCGGGCAGCATTCATTAAATGGAGAACCGACTACTGACTTAATAATACTTACCAATGTGAATTCTGATGTTAGACGTGACCCGAGAATTTGCCACATCTTGTGCTGACAACAGTTTTTGCCCCCGTGTGAAAAATGGCATTATAAATTGTGCACCCAGAACGGCAAAGTCATCCTTTAGAGTGAATCCTCTGTCGGCAAGAATCTGAAATGACAAAATAAAACTAAGTTAAGGACACTACACAAACATATTCCTTTTGAAACAAATGGGAATAGAGCAACATGGGGACAACTTGACTTGAAATGCTTTCAGTAAAAATAGGCAGTTAAACTTAACATTTATAGTAAATGTCCTATGAAAAGATCTTAACAGTGTACAGTACATAACACATTTCAAGTTAAACTCTGACCTGATCTCCAGCTTGGTGGTATCTTGAGGATAGGAAATCGGAGTTCCTCACAATCTGAACATCTGATGCTCTCCCGCCCCAGCCTTTGGAGAGGTATGTAATTGCGCCAGATGGGTGACATCCAATGAAGTATTTTACTGTAGTCCAGTTCTTGTATCTGGAGTAAGTGTGAGGATAGGAAATCGGAGTTCCTCACAATCTGAACATCTGATGCTCTCCCGCCCCAGCCTTTGGAGAGGTATGTAATTGCGCCAGATGGGTGACATCCAATGAAGTATTTTACTGTAGTCCAGTTCTTGTATCTGGAGTAAGTGACTGCTCTGTGAGGAGCTATTGACATGCTATGTGCATATATCTTTCTTCATTGAAAGACCAACAGTGTAGTTTGTGCAATAAGTGGCCATGAAATATCTTAATGTTATAGGAAAAAAACACCGTTTTAATGAAATATAACTGATAACAAGAAAAATTGCCCACCTAGTTTTCAGCTTCTTCGAATGATCAATTCTTATCTCGAAACAGTCAATAATCTAAGTAATCCTTGGGTACTGTACCAGCACTTCAGCTGGTACCGTGCTCCGAATGCATTCCCTTTCTGGCCAGGCAATTAAGAAGGATATTTTGGCATACATGAGGTCCAGCCATTGGGTAAATATGTCACTAAACGTGCTGGGTGCAATATTTAATATGCTACACAATAAATCATTAGTAGGGCTCTGCCGCAGTTTAACCAGAGTAATGAACAGCTGGTCTTCAGTTGAAAGCTTGCACAGGAACCTTGGCTTGACAAACTGCACCAGATACTGATGCAGAATGTCAAAACCTGACCATGACAGGCCTGTCATGACTCTGCATTTGTTGTCATCTCCTTTCACGCTGCCTGATGAAAACTTGACTTGCTTCAATTGGAGGGGAGACTGTGGTTTCTGAAGGGGACATGGGGACCTGTAGATCGTATGGACTCTCCGGAGGCAGGACTGGGGTTTCCAGTGGGGGCACGGGGACATCTGGCTCATCTGTACTCTCTGGAGGGGGCGTTTGTCACTGATAACTAAACCGATGCCTCTCTCGATTTTTGAGACGATCCAGTCTTTTTAATCTTCTTGTAGTCGGCGCTCGTCTCTCGAGGAACAATGATGGAACATAGGCTGGGTGAGCCTGTTCTTCGTTTTTTTTAAACCTGCAGCAAGACAGCCAAAGCAGTGCATTTTAACTGAAAGGAACTGTGCAGCTAAAATTCGTTTTAGTTGTTGTTAAAGATGATGCTAGTAAAGACCTTTGTTCAGATCCTTACGGAAATTAACCATGGTTTTATTGTAGTAAAAGTAACTATAGTTTTCTTTTTCTTTTTTAAATTGCCACATTTTTACTACAAATACATTGGTTAAACTATGTTTAGTGTAGCAAAACCATGGCTAATTTATGGTTACCATGGTTTAACTATAGAAATCATGTTTTTTTGTTTATTGTGCGGGGTTAATTTTTGTAAGAGGAAATAAGCAGCTCTCCGGTCCTCTCCCCTGGTCAACAAAGAATGTCCCTTCCCTCATTGGAACTAAAATACAGGTGTGCTGACTTATCCAATACAGGAGGACTTCTGCAATAACATTTGGATAAAACAAAGTTACCTGTTAAGAAGTGCCGACTACACACATACACATGACGAGATATAAGATCCCACAACCATCCTGATGAATCCTTTGTTTTCCTTGCCGGCTCCGTGTGTTTATTTGGCAGTATATAAAACTTAAGATCAGGTTTTTTTTTTTTTTTTTTACTTATTAGAGGTGCAAAATGTCACACAGCAAGTTTTTGGCATTGCACCAAGCAAAAACAAATAATAATTATTGCAAAGAGTAAAGATCATACGCCTAACAAGGTCTACGAGCAAAAACAGTAACATTTTGAAATATTTTCTATTTTAAAATATTTTAAAATGTAATGTATTTCTGTGATGCGCAGCTGTATTTCCAGCATCATTACTCCAGTCTTCAGTGTCACATGATCTTCAGAAATCAGTATAATATATTGATTTGCTGATTATCAATATACAGCTGAGTATTTTTTTTCAGGATTCTTTGATGAACAGAAAGATCCAAAGATCAGCATTTATCTGAAATAAAAAGCTTTTGTAACATTATACACTATACCATTCAAAAGCTTGGGGTCAGTATGATTTCTTTCTTTCTTTCTTTCTTTTTGAAAGAAATTATAGAAATTAATACTTTTATTTAGCAAGGATGTTTTAAATTGATCAAAAGTGATGATAAAGACATTTATAATGTTACAAAAGATTTCTATTTCAGATCAATGCTGTTCTTCTGAACTTTCTATTCATCAAAGAAACCTGAAAAAAATCTACTCTTCTTTTTATTTTTATATAATGAATCAGTCAATTTTAATGAAAACAATACAAGTTAGTAATTTTTTATTTATTTTTTACTCTGCACTAGGGGGACCACCCTATAGATCTGTTGCAGGACAGTAGATGTGATTTTACGGGACGATGTGGGACACATGCGAAACAGATAAATTTATTCCCGTTATGCTATGTAAACACTGATTTACATTCGTTGGCATATATGCGCCAATTTATTTTTCTGCCGGTGGATGCCCACACTTCAGGTTGCGTTAATTAAACTTAGGAGAGAAGATCATTTTTGAGCGCACACATGTAGTGTCTGATTGATAGAGAGCGTGTCCGTTTTCTGTGAGTGAATGAATGGGAATCTACCAGCGAGCAGAGAGATTTGTGCTCGCGCATTTGATGCGCTCTTGCATAGGCTACACTGTAAAAAAAAATCTGTGACATTTACGGTAAAATACCGGCAGCTGTGGTTGCCAGAACTTCACCGTAAAAAATATGGTAGCAACATTTTAGGTTTTACAGACTTAACTTAAGTTCACAATAAAATACATTTATTCACCGAATATAGTATGGAAACTTACTGTTAACCAGTTAACAGGTTTTTACCGTAGCATTTTTACAGTCTTTTACTGTTAAAATCACAATCATTTTTTACAGTGTATATAACGCGCTCTGGACATTTGTCAGTAAAACAACTCCATAGAAACCGCCTCAAGCGATCTATTAAAACGAGAAGAAAGTCGTGTCTGAAAGCTGCAATCGATTTTTTTAAATGTGTTAAATGAATGGAGAATATCGTGTTTTTCCGTGCGTGTCGTCGGTGGTGCTCGAGCACTTGATGAGGTCCGCTTTATTCCTTTGAGCCGTCCACGCAGTCGTCATCAATGGAAAAACCCCACACCCCTAATCCTAACCTTTGCGTATCATATGCACACCAAAGTCCATTTCTGCGTATAAATAGAACGCCAAATAGAAACAGAAACTTGTGGTACTGATACGCACTTTCATAATTCACGATATAAAGCAGCATAGATTTTTATTTTAAGACGATCATATGCTCTCTCGGGCCACATAAAATGATGTGGAGGGCCGGAATAGGCCTTGAGTTTGACACGTGTTTTAAATAGGAAAAATATTTCAAAATGTTACTGTTTTTGCTGTATTTTGGATCAAATAAATGCAGGCTTGGTGAATTCTTTAAAAACATTAAAAATCTTACTGTTCAAAAACTTTTGGACTGGTATGTTAGCCTATAGTTTGAAGTTAAATATATTAATATTAATTAGGTGAGTGTGAGATGCTTATTTGACAGTGATTTCACATTTCTTGTTTGTATGAAGGCTAAATGGTGAACATTAATTTATTTGTGCTGGGCTTTTTTCTAAAATATTATATGGTTTTATATGAGGTGTCATAGACTTGGCAAATACATTTTTCATACGTTTGTATGCACAGACATTCTTGGCAGTTTTACAAGGCTTTTTTTTTTTTTTAATAGTGTTCATATCGATATATCCATACATTCGGAATTATCGAAATATATCGTGATATAAATTTAGGCCATATCGCCCAGCCCTACCCTCAAACTTCAGCATTGCTTGTCACTGCTGTGAAATTAAAACATCTCAATACAGCCAATCTAACTTCTGCAATATTAAGCCTAACAACAAGCAACCTAGTCTGGCATTGGCCTAAAATAGCATTGCGCGAGGTCAGAAATGCCACAAAGATTAATAAAAAATGCCCCCAAAATGTAAGATATGAATAGCCTCTATAAGAGTTTTTTTTCTCTCTCTTTATAATATAATAGATAAGAAATATCAGACAAGCGAGAGTGCTACTTCCCAGAATATCAGTATTCCCACTGTCCCTCACCTGTTCCTATAACTCTCACATAATGCAAGTTTAAACCTTCATCGGTACATTCTATAGTCTGGGTTTGTTAATAGAAGCCCCGATCTCGCTGTCATGTAAAAATTCATGTAAAACAGAATGTTATATAAGTACCCGCAACTTCAAGTTACATCATGTGATGCTCCACACCAGAGTGCTTATAACTAGATAATAATAAATAACTAGAGAAATGAAGCACTCACTGCCCCATGTGTCTAGGAAATGTACATTTTAGTTTCTTCTCTTTTGATGCAGCTTAGCAGGAACAACATACACGCGTGTCTGGGGCAATCAGTCGTTACTGCGGCCTCTCTCCACTCTTCCAAAATGAAACGTGTGTCGAAGTAGT